AACTGCTGACTTTGCAGTTCCCAGCCTGATTCCTAACCACTAAGCTACCAGAGCTCCATTGCAAACCTCTTTAGCGTAACAGAAAACAACTGCATTCTTATAGCTCCTTCATTCAGCATTCACTTACAATACCACACATCATGAAGCCTTCACTACATACACAGAATGAGTAAAAAAGACAAATAATATTTTACAATTGTTGTGAAAGCAGTTTTGACCTCAAAGAGCCTCAGGAATCCCCAAAATATACTTTGAAACTGCTCTTCTAAACAATAATGCCAGTAAGACTTTAAGAATTCTTTTCTAAGTTTCCAAGAGCCCTAACACACACATCAAACAGGATAAACATTTCCGAATAGGAACTTATAGACTACATAGTAGTGATTTAAAAAGCAGATTATTAAACTGTATGTGGCACCGTTAAGATCAGCACTGGGCTGCTAACCACAAAGCTAAGTGGGCAGCTGAAATTCACTCCTTGGAAACCCCATATAGGATCGTTATGAGTCAGAACTGACTTAATAGCACATAATAACAACAGATACACACCATGATAGTATTTTTTCTAAAACAGAAATATTTTAGAAGCAGCATCAGTGTTTATGTTGAGATACTGGGGATATAAGTTTTTAAAAATACTTTTATATAATCAGACAATATTGAAAATTATAAAACAAATGCAATTAAGGACAGGGATACATCTTTAAAAAATATAATATTACAGAAAAATATGACAGTATCAGCTGAATTATTCAAATAAAGTCTAGTTCTAGTTAAAACCACTAGCAGTCTTTCTTAGAAAAACATTTGGTTATGGCTACAAAATTTTCTTAACTCTTTCCCCTGAATGCTATACTATATTCACGGATATATTTGTAGGACATATAAATACATGTGTAGAAATATCCTGTCAAAATTATGTATACATGACAGGGGAAGGTAGAATCCCCGCTAAATAGTTTTCATCTTGTCTAGAGGGTATGGTGAAAGAAGATGAGGATAACATTCTTATGATTCAAAAGTGAGTATTTGTTATCGTGACTAATTGCAATTGTCACTACTGTAAAGCTGTAAGTTGTGTAACAAAAAGAGGGGAGTAGTTATTCTTACATTCCAGGATCAGAGGGCCCTAGGACCATTAAGGGAGAAGAGCATGAGTGGAATGCAGGACCTTATCCAGAGAAGCAGCGACACCAGAGATGGAGGCAGAGATGAGGACATGGAGAGAGGGAGCAGCTAAGGACTCTAGACTCGTGGAAAGAGAGGGACTGAGTGGCAGTGCCCAGGAGGCAGGTTTGCAGAATGTGTCCTTTGGTTGTTTAAATTATTGTATATTCCTGAGTGTTTTCATGTATATCCAAAGAAAACTAGAGGGAATGGAATCAAATACTGTTGAACGATGATACATGGAGGGGGTTGTAATCATTGCAATGAAATGAAATATGATAGGATGAGTATAAAACCGATGTTCTCCCATGTAAACTATCACTTAATTCACAATAAAAACTTAAAACAATAGACAGGCCTATAGGATGAACAATATCAACAGGAAGGTATACACACATTAGAATGGTCAACAATTTGAGATAAAAAGAGCAGAACTGGCCCACGATAGAGCTCTGAAGGCAGGCATGGACAACAAAGAAAGATCAAAAGTAACTGCAAACACAGGAAGAAGGGGGGAAAAGTGCTGTTATATTTGGGGGATTGCAATCAATGTCATGGATCAAAATGTGTATGTACTATTAAATGGAAAATTAATTTGCTCTATAAACTTTCACCCAATCACAATAAAAAGTTTAAAAAAAAAAAGGTCATTTTTCCAGAAGTAAAACAATTTACTTTCATATAAATGAAAATTTAATACTTACCGAAAGTATTAAATAAAACTGTCCCAATGTTTTCTGATGATATTCTGAATTTAGCAAGCTATTGTAGGCATGCCTCCCTGACTAATCATCTGCAGACTTAACTATGAGATATAGAGAGTTAAAGAGGCTTATCTTCCCTTATCACTAACATACATACTCAACAAAGTCTTTTATAATCACTTTATTCCATGTAATTTTCAACTAAATTCCATGGAATTATAACCAAAAAGAAAATCTCTTATGTCCTGTAAGTTATTCAGTTATGTGAAACCATTGATCTACAATGAGACGTTAAACCAGCAACAAATGCTAAAAAAATTCTCTAAAAATGTTTACTTTCAATGAATTAACATTTTCCAAGGAACTCGGAGTTTGTCATATAAGGAATACTTGAGGGAACTGTTTCTGCCTAATAAAGAAAAGAGCTAGGGAAAGCAGTAGTCAGAAACAGAAAAAGATGGCTTACTCTGGCTAGATTACTTAAGCTCTGTACATTCAAGTGTACAGTGAACATCTGCAATTACAGATGGCAAAACCACTACTAATGAGTACAGGGACCACAAGAGCAGAACTAGCCTAGGGATAAAGCTCTGAAGGCAAAGCCATTGTTACTGAGTCAACCCCGATGCTGTATAGGGTTTCAGAGACTGCAAATCTTTGCCAAAGCGGAAGCCTCATTTTTCTCCTGAGAAGCAACTGGGGGGCTTGAACTGCTGACCTTGAGGTCAGGAGTCCATCTTCATTCTTACAGTGCCATCAGGGCTCCTCAAGTAGGGATACCGGGAGACATATTTTGACCCAGTCAAAGGAATTATTTTCAAACCTTAAATGAAAGTATGAATTATCTCAGAAACCATGAAGCTCCTCATGATGGAATAATTAAACAAAGGATGGAAAACTATATGCTAGGCATATTATTTAAGGAATTTCTCTGTACTCTGAGAGAAGTTATGTGCTCAGTGATTTAAGATCTTTTTCAATGTTTGGGTTCTATTATTTGAGCTTTATGAACAGTACCTCCTATTGCTTCTATAGCAACCTGGAGCTTCAAGTCCTTTACTTCTTTCAGAGACTAACTTGTGTACCCACAGAATATGTGTCTGACGTAATAAATCAAGAAGAGAATTAAGGGTGGGTTGTTGTTCCACCATTCAGCTGTCAGTTTGCCATAGTGTGGTGGTTTGTGTGCTACTGTGATGTTGGAAGCTATGCCATCAATACTTTAAATACCAACAAGTTCACCCATGGTGGACAGGTTTCAGCTCAGCTTCTAGACTAAGAATAGGGAGGCACCGAGGCAGACTACTTCTGAATGTTTAGTCACTAAAAACCTTATGAATAGCAGTGGAACATTGTCAGATATAGTGCCGGGAAGCCGGACGTTCTGGCATAGTGGCAGCAACAATGGACTCAAGAGGAACAACAATTGTAAGGATGGGACAAGACACGACAGTGTTTCATTCTGCTGTGCATATTATAGGGTTGCTGTGCGTTGGAACTGACTAGACAGCAACTAACAGCAACCTAACAACAACAGTTGTTGTTAAGTACTGTTGAGTCAGTTCTGACTCATAGTAATTCTGTATAGGGTTTCCAAGGACTAGATAGTGGGTTTGAACCACCACCCTTGTGATGGGCTATAACATCTTCAATCCTATCACCACCTTAATCTAAGAGTAGCCCAAGAGTGTGGCCTGCAACATTTTTTATCTTACAAAGATAAAAAAGAGACAAGAGAGCAGAGAAATGAGGGACCTACTCCCACCAAGGAAGAGCTAGAGTTCATCGTTTGGAACTAGGATCCCAGGACTATGAAGTTCCTAGATCCCAGGGAAAGACTGACGCCAAGACACCTGGTGATCTCCCAGGAAGGTTGGGCCTATAGATGCTGAAAGGAGATAAGGGCTTTCCCCCAGAGCTGCCAGAGAAAGAAAGCCCTCCCTTAGAGTTGGCACTGTGAACTTAAGACTTCCAGCCTCCTAAATTGAGAAGATGGAGTCCTAGTGTGGTGCTACAGGCAGTTCAAACTCATCAGTCCCTCCTTAGAAACCCTATACAGGGTCGATATGAGTTGCAATAGACTTGATAGCACTTCACAATAACAACAAAACTGAGAAAATACATTTGTGTTAAGGCCATCCACTTGTGGTATTTCTGTATAGCAGCAGTAGGTAACTAAGGCACCTTCTTAGTTGAACCTTAGGCTTGTTTTCTTATATTAAGCATCTGCCAAGCAGTCAATGAAGGGATTTTAGAGATTGTGTCTTTCAATCCACAACAAACAGAGGATCAAAGTTAAACTCAGAGAACTTACATTAAAGATTGAATAATTTGTGTTCAGTATAGTCCAAATGTATATTGCACATCTAAATTCATAGTGCCTGGTGTGGCCCTGTAGTATAAGCATTGGACTGCTAACCACAAGGCTGGTGGATCAAACCCACGAAGCAACTTGGAAACCCTATGCAGAGTCACTATGATTTGGAACCGACTTGATAGCACTTAACAACAATAATTAGTTAGTCATACCAGCTTATAGAGACATAGCGTTTAACTTTTAGGTGCTAACCTACGACACAAAATAATATATATTTTTAATGCAAAGGATACAAAGACTAGAATACTTGAATAGAAAGCAAAATGCTTACATTACATAAACCTCACCAATATTGGAAAACAAAACAAGCAAATAAAGAGCTAGTACTTCTCAATACTCTGAATAAGAAAGTTGACAAAAGGAAAATAATATACTTAAAAACAGAGAAAAGCTTTCCCCTGTAGTTGTCTATGTGTGTGTGTGTGTGTGTGTGTGTAGTTGTCATACATTACAATCCTCACATCACCAGGATCATTTTGTGCTGATATTGCCTTTCCTGTCACCAACCAACTCAGCCATCTGCGCTCCTTCTCCCTCCTACTTGGTAACCTTCAAAGAATGATTTTTTTCTGTGTGTAAACCTTTTCTTGACTTTTTACAGCAGTGGTCTCACGCAGTATTTGTCCTTTTGTGACTGACTGATTTCATTCAGCATAATGTCCTCTAGGTTCCTCCAGGTTATGAGATGTTTCATACACTCACTGTTTTTCTTTAATGTTGCAGAGTATTCCATTGTGTGTGTGTGTACAATACTTTATCCATTCATCTTTTTTTTTTTAATGTTTTATTGTGAATTATATGATAGTTTACATGGGAGAACTTTAGTTTTGCATTCATTCCATCTTATATCATCTCACTGCCATGGTTCCAATCCCCTCCATGCATCATCAACCACCCAAAGGGTATATCCCAGAAACCCGACCCTTACACTTCCCCCTCCTCCCCCCAGTTTTCAGCCCACAGTCCCTTTCCCTCTCTGGGTCCAAGGTTCCCAGTCGCTTCATCACTCCACATCATCATCTCTGTCTCTATCTCAGGCATCTCTGTTTCTCTGGGTAGGGTCCTGCTCTCGGCTCTTCTCCATTGATGGTCCCAGAGGCCTCCGCTCCTATCCTGGAGAATTAATCACTCCCTTCCTTGTTACAAAACTTCCACCTTTGCATTTCCAACCCTCATAATCCATCCTGATAAGTATTATTCACTACAGTATCACAAGTTACCCATCTGTATCTCTCCATTCATCTTTTAATGGGAACTTAGATTGTTTCCATCTTTTTGCTATTGTGAATAATGCTGAAATGAACATTTCTAAGTATATAAGAATTCTGTTGGTGAGTAAATTTGATGAACTTGACTTAAACAATTTGATGAACTTGACTTTTACTTTTGGATGTAGTACATTAACATACCAACCAAGAGGGAAGGAATCTTCACAGCAAAGATCATTCCCATCCCCTCTGTACACAGAGTTGACAGAGATGGGCAACTTAAGACACTGGCCACCTACAATGGGGGTGGGGGGCTGTAAAGGCATGAAGTGACTAACTTACAAGTTTTCAAGAGGGAGTTTAGTTTCAGAATGTGCAAGGAGAGTAGAATTCCCACTGAATAGTTTTCATCTTGTCTAGACAGGTCTGGTGAAAGGAGATGAGGATAAGATTCTTATGATTCAATAGTGATTGTCATCATGACTAATCCAAGTGTCACAACTGTGAAGACAGACGTTCTGTAGTAAAAAGGGGGGAGTAGTTGGTCTTACATTTCAGGAACATTGGCCCCTAGGACCATTAAGGGAGAAGAGCTGGAGTAGAATGCGGGACCCTATCCAGAGAAGCAGTGGTGCCAGGGATGGAGGCAGTGATGATGACATGGAGACATGGAGCAGCTGAGGACTCTACACTCATGGAAGGCAAGGGGCTGTGTGCTGGCAGCCAGGGGGCAGGCTTGCAGAGTCTGCCCTTTGGTTGTTTGGATGACTGTATATTCCCGAGTGTTTTGGTGTACATCCAAAAAAATGAAAAACAGAGGGAATAGAAGCAGGTACTATTGAATGATGATGATGATGATGCATGGATGGGACTGCATTCATTGCAATGAAATGAACTCAATAGGATGAATGTAAAATTGATGTTCTCCCATGTAAACTGTCACCCAATTCACACAAAAAAGTTTAAAAAAAGATAATGTAAGCTTTTAAAAAAAAGAATTCTGTTCTTGTTTAGTGCCATCAAGTCACTTCCAACTCATAGCAACCCTATCAAGGGTTTCCAAAGAGTGGCTGATAGATTTGAACTGTCAACCTTGAAATTCAAACTGACCTTGCAGTTCATGGTTAACTTAGAGCTCTGCCCTCACTCCAGATGGATACAACAGAGAGAGGGAGTGGCTAGGGGGCAACATGTCAGAGAAGATTGAGTTGTGGACAAGTAACGATCTGAATAATCTTCACATTTTGGGGATTGGATTTATATTGACTCTTACCCATGAAGCACTTAGAAATCGTTTTACTCATTCAACAAATATTTGCACCAGGCCCTGAATCCTAAGGACATACAGATTACAACACTTAAAGACTATGTAGGACTCAGTCTATTGTTGCTAAGTGCTGTTGAGTCAGTTCCAACTCATAGTGACCCTGTATAGGACTATCGAGGAGCAGCTGGTGAATTTAAACTACCAACCTGACAGTTCAAACTGACCTTGTGGTCCACTGCTTATCCTACGACACCACATTAGAGGGAGACAAACACAGCCTGGCAAAGAAGGAATCATGAACAATTTCATAGAGTATATAAACCTTGACATGAATTTTGAATAACAAAAAGGTATTTACCGGGTGTTGGGGAGAAAGAAGGCTAGAAATACAGAAGTGTGCAATAATCTGGGGATGTAGTCAAGCAAGGACACTTCAGTAACAACTGAACAGAAATGCATGCAGGACTGCCTCTATAAAGCCATTCTTAATTCTTTCACACAAGCACAAATGATCACTCAGAAAGCACACACTTAACAAGTGGTACAAGAAGGACTGACTGTGGGGAGAACGGAGAGGGTGCAGAAAGAAGGAGAGACATGCATAAAGAAAGCGATGGTGGAGAGAAGGATGAAGGCAGGGAAATCCTGATGTGGGATGGCTCAGGTCAGCTCTGGAAAAGTAATGAATGACTGCTTGTCATCTTTGGGTATTTTCCCAACTTCTATCCCAAAGTAGATCCATAATTATTCAGAACTGCTATATGTTAGTTTAGACAAGAGTACCTACTCTTATCATTAAACAAGATTATAGTTGTTAAGACTCTATTTTAAGAGTCAAAACATCTTTATATGACTACCTTCACTTGAAGTAGCATGCTAATAAGAAACTTAAGAACAGAGGGAACATATTAAACTCTTTATAGAAGCCAAATAATACCTAAATGGCACCCTGGTAACATAGTGGGTTACGAGCTGGGCTGCTAACCGCAAGGTCAGCAATTCAAATCTACCAGTTGCTCAGCAGGAGGAAGATGAAACTGTCTGCTCCTGAAAAGATTTATAGCCTCAGAAACCCTATACGGCCACTTTGAGTTGGAACCGACTGGCAGGCACACAGCCACCACCACCACTACAATGCCTAAAGGGAAGTCCGTTGGTGTAGTGGTTAAGTGTTCAGCTGCTCACCTCAAGATTGGTGTTTCTAACCCACCAGCAACTCCACAGGATAAAGATGTGGCAGTGTGCTTCCATAAAGACTTTGGTCTTGGAATGCCTATAGGGCAGTTCTATTGTGTCCTACAGGGTCACTATGTGTGGAAAACTTGAAAGCAGAGGGTTATATAACACCTAGGATCTGGTCTGATATATAAAACATCCTTAATATTAAAGTGATAAAAAAGCAATCATAAAATTATATTCTATCAAAATTAAATTTCCCTGATTTTGATAATTACATTAAGGTTATACAGTCCTTGTTCTTAGGAGATACAAACTGAAGTAATTATAGGTAAGGTAAAGGGCCAGAATACTCTTAAATTATTCAGGAAAATATATAAATATGTATATATATATCATGTAGTGGGAGAAAGAAATGAACAAGTCAATCAAGGCTGGGTCTCAGTTTTTCACTTACTAGCTGTGTACTTAAGCAAGATATTCTGCAAATGTGAGAAAGCAAATGAGGCAAAATGCTAACCACTGTGAATTTTGGATAATGAATATACTATTCTTGCAACTTCTCATTAGTTTGAAATTATACCAAAATATTACCCAAAAAGTTAACTGTTCACATACACATACAGAATAATAAGCCAAATTTAAAAAAAAAAACAAAAAACAAAAAACTCACATGGAATTGAACATTCCCATTAGGGCAGTAAAACAAAAGCCAATTGCAAACATGGATTTCATACGGACCTGTAAAGAGACCAACAAATTGTCATTTTACCCTAAAATCAAAACAAAAAACACTACAAATGCATACCCCAAAAGTTTTGGTTTGCTGTCATTTTTAAAAAGGCTTTTTGAAAGGAAAACAAAAGCTTTTTTTTAAGGGATCAACCTGGCTGGCATTCCTTTAGGCCTTCTTGCTTGAAGCCATGACTTTAACACCTAGAGGTGAAGTGGCCTTTATACAACTAAAAGGACAAAAGCCTTCACAACTAAACTTGGCAGAGTCAGGGTCCATGATGACATTACTGAGCTGCTACATCTGCCCAGGAATGTTAACATGTGGACTTCTTGCATGAAAATAAGAAGCCTTTATCTGTTTAAGCCACTGTATCAATATTTAGATATTCTGTAACTTACAACAAGTCCTTCCCTCCTTACATACATTTCTTAATTTATAAATGTATAAACAAATGATTATAAGACTATATGATAAACAGTTGTTATGTCTGGATGGTTTTGGTTTCTGGACAATTTTTATCTCTTCTTCCTTCTATAGCAGGGGTGGGGAATCTTTTTTCTGCCAAAACTTATAACATCAATTGCAGGCCATACAAAATTATCAACTTACAAATTTGACCGCTATAGCTCATCAGCCACTCCTTGGAAACCCTATACAGGGTCACTATGGTTGGAACTGACTTGATGGGGCATTTAACAACAACAAAATTTGGTCGAACATTTCATTAACTCACCCCTAATGACTCCACGGCACTTAACAAAACCAATTGTAATGGCTGGAACTGTGGTTGCCTTGGCAGGGTCAGATCAAATGATTTTAAGGGCCTGATTTGATGGCACTTAACAACAACAAGAACACATGGCCCATTGACAGGACATTCCCCACCCCTGTTCTATATCTTTCAAATTTGCTTTGGTGAACATGTACTAATGTTACTTTTTCAATAACATATACTCCTAAATTATAATCTCTCGTTATTGATTAGAATTTAAAAATCTCTCAGGAAGCAAAAAAGAACTGTTCCACATTCCGACACCCGATGCACTGAAGCAAAAAACTCAATCAAGCATAGCCTATCTCTGTCTTAGAAAGACAACGTAAACATACTGCCTCACAAATAATGAATAGATGAGTAATAAAATCATACGAGTATGGCCTTACTCTTTATGGCATGGTCTACCACCCAGAACACAAGGCCTCTTAAAGAACAAAAGGCACTTATAAAAGCCATCTACAACATTCCCACTCCTGTGCTGAGACTACACAGGTCAGCACTAATCCAAAGATTCAGTATTATTAAGGGAGAGAAAGAAGATAAACTACTTTGTTTTAAAACACAGTAAAGAAAGTACACAACAAATGTGAGAGAGGTACCCCAAGACAACCTTAAAAAGCTAGCCATTGGTGTTAAAATGAAGTTAAGAATAGTCGATTATTTTTACTTCCATTCAGCCCAGAAAACACTATTTCGTATAACATACACTGACAACACATTTCTGAAAAGGGAAGTGCAATGTGCTTGATGCAAATCAGGGTCTTTTATTAAAAATATTCAGTGGTTCTACACAAAGCTATACTTTGGACTCTTACCATTGATAGATCTCTGTTGTTATTTTTCAGTTTCTCTTCTTGTCTCTCTGAAAAATGAAATGGTTAATATACACAGTGGTGAGCACAGAACAGATGTTAGCTGGATTGTCACTGCCCGGTGATTATAAAAGCACTTCTGTCTCAGTATCACTTAATGTTGTTGTTGTTATTTAAGTGCCATTGAGTTGGTTCCGACCCATAAAGACCATATATAGGGTTTCCTAGGAGCATCTGATAAGCTTGAACCACCAACCTTGCAGTTCAAACTGACTTTGCAGTCCAGCACATTAACCCACAGCGCCACACCAGGACTCCATATCACTTAGTAAGATGAAATAAATACCTGCAATAGTGCATATTTTCTACTGAAAGAAAATTTTTAAATAGCAGAGTACTAAATATTTCAAGTTAAACAAATACAATCTTTAAACTACAATTTTGAAAAACAAATTGCCTCTGTTATGTCTTAATTATCTAAGACTTTTTATATTACTCCAATGGGAACTGCCAATCAGCAGATTCTTTAACTGTAAACATATGATTGTACTTACTGTTGTTGCTAAGTGCTACCAGGTCAATTCTAATTCACAGTTACCATAAATAGGGTTTTCAAGGAGTGGCTGGTGGGTTTGAATGTCTGACCTTGTGGTTAGCAGTTCAGTGCTTAATCCTACAGCGCCATGCCAAGACTTCCTGATTTTATGTAATTGTTAAGTGCTGTTAAGTCGGTTCTGACTCACAGCGACCCTGTATAGGGTTTCCAAGGAGTGGGTGGTGAGCTTGAGCCACTAACCTTGCGGTTCAAACCAACTTTGCAATCCAGCACATTAAAACCCCCAACACCACACCTGACGGTATATGGTGTCTCAAATATTAATTACCCAGACTTCCAAGATGATTGAGCTTCCCAGTTTCTTTCATGTGTTATGTTATGCTGACATGCGATGAAATGTATGTCTAAAACCTCCCCTATGTGCCTTGAGGATCTGGGAAATGAAAGGTTCTGGGTGTTGGAAATACACAGTATATGTCGTTTAATGTTCACTGTCCTATATGAATTACTCTTTCATTACCTTAATCAATCTGGAACCTCAGCACTTAACACATAGGCAGAATTATGCCTCAATTCTTCTTTTTGGCTGAAACTAAGCCTCTCTGATAGTAATAATTCTTCTCTTTGGATGAAATTCTATGCCTTTCTTGACTTGAAAAATTTTAGGATTCTATGGACAAAATATTGACTGATGCAGGAAAGAATACAGAGTCACTCCACCAAAAAGAACTTCTTCATAGACCAAGAGGGAGTCATTCAAATATAACAAGGGAACACTGAATGTTTTAAAATCATGAAAGGTATACGCCACGGTTACATTCTTTCACCATACTTATTCAATCTGTATGTTAAGCAAATAATATGAGAAGCTGGATTATGTTAAAAAGAACGTGGCATCACGATTAGAGGAAGACTCATTCACAACCTACGATAAGCAGATGATACAACCTTGCTTGCTGAAAGCCAAGAGGATTTAAAATACTTACTGATGAAGATCAAAGACCCTGGACTTCAATATGGGTTGTACCTCAATATAAGTAAAACAAAAATTCTCACCCTCAACACTGGACCAATAATTAGCATCATGTTAGATGGGGAAAAGATTGAAGTTGTCAAAGACTTTATTTTGCTTAGATATACCATCACCACTCATGAAAGCAGCAATCAAAAATTCAAAGGATGTATTGCATTAGACAAATCTTCTGCACAAGACCTCTTTAGAGTGCTCAAGAGCAAAGATGTCAGTTTGATGACTAAGAAGCACCTGACCCAAGCCATGGTATTTTCAATAGCCTCATATATATGTGAAAGTTGGACAATGAATAAGGAAGACCTTAGAAGAATGGATACATTTGAGCTATGGTGTTGGAGAAGAATATTAAAAGTACCATGGACTGCCAGAAGAACAAACAAATCCGTGTTGGATTTATAGGCAGAATGCTCCTTAGAAGCCAACATGGCCAGACTTCATGTTTCATACTTTGGACACATTATCAGGAGGTTACAGTCACTGGAGAAGGGCATTATGTTTGGAAAAGTGGAAGGTCAGCAAAAACAAGGCAGACCCCCAATGAGATGGATTGGCACAGGAGCAGCAGCAGTGGGTTCAAGCATAACAATGATTGTAAGGTTGGTACAGGGCAGGACAGAGTCATGTTGTGCATAAGGTCACTATGAGTTGGAACCAACTCAGCAGCTCCTAAAAAATAACAACAGTCAAAAGAGATTCATCACGCCCTGTATTCATATACACATATATATGATCTTGTTGTTAAGTGACAGCAAGTCAGTTCCAACTCATAGTGAACACGTATAGGGTGGTTTCCAAAAAGCAACTAGTAGGTCTGAACTGCTGTTTTCGTTAGCATTCTAGGGCTTTTCCTACAATGCCACACAAGGAGTCTGTCCTATAGTATCATATAGAAGTACCAAATAAGTAAGGACTCCTGGTATGGTGCTGTAGGATCAGCACTGGACTTCAAACAAGATCAGCAGTTCAAACCCACTAGCTGCTCCTCGGAAACCCTACATGGGGTCACTATGAGTCAGAAATGATTCAACTACACTTAACAATAAAACACTGGATTAAATGGAGTCCTGGTGTGTTGATTATGGATAAACAACGGATTGCTTATTGCAAGGTCGGCAGTTCAAATCCATCAGCTGCTCCTTGGAAACCCTATATTCGGTCACTGTGAATTGGAACTGACTCTAACAACAACTACACTAACAACAACAATGTATTAAATTGTGTTCCCCAAAAAATGTGTTACAAATTGTACCCTCCATGTCTGTGATCATAACCCAACTGAGAATGGGTTGTCTTTGTGATGCTGATGAGGCAGGATTAGTACAGGTGTGCCTTGAGTCAATCTTTATGTCTGTGATCATAATCCAATTTGGGAATGGACTGTCTTTGGGATGCTAATGATGCAGGATTAGTACAGGTGTGCCTTGAGTCAATCTTTATGTCTGTGATCATAATCCAATTTGGGAATGGACTGTCTTTGGGATGCTAATGATGCAGGATTAGTACAGGTGTGTCTTGAGTCAATCTCTTTTAAAATATAAAAGAGATTAAACAAGCAAGTGAGCAAGCAGAAGTAAGGGAAGAAAGATGCCAAGCTATAAGAAGATTGCTCAAGAACAAAAAGTTCAGAAGAAACAAGGACCTTACTTCAAAGACAACAGAGTGGGAAGAATTGCCATAGAAGTCCTGAATTTTAACTAGTAGCCTCCTAAACTATGAGAAAATAAATTTGTTTGTTAAATTCTTCCCCTCCCCCTCAAAAGAAAGCCAGGCAATAAAAATACAAGTAACTCAGGTTGACTGTAAAAATCATCAGCTGTGGAAAAAAACACCCTCAGCCATGTTCAAGAGCCACAAATGTCAACATAATTTTACTACAACTGAACATTTCAAAGCTATGAACAAAAAAGAGTGATTGCTTGAATCAAGTTAATGCACTGTAATGCTAAATTGGTTTAAACCTAAGGTCAGGTCGGTGGTTCAAGTCCACCAGCTACTCCTCAGAAACCCTATACAGAGTCACTATGAGACAGAACCGACTCGATGGCACTAAACAACCTCAGAGAGCAGTTGTGAGAATCAAGAGAGACAATGTATGCATGTGATTTTTAAATCATGAACTTAAAAAAATGCAAATCATCACTATTAACTTTATTTTCATCATCTGAAATTCTATTTTGGGGAAGATTTTGTTTCTATCAATAACCCATCTTACCTATTTTCTTTTTCTGCTGCCGACCAGCTGACTCTGTTATTGTTTCCTTCTTCTTTTCTACTGTAAAGAATAAAGTAATATAGAAAAATTAACCATGCATTATGCTAAAGAAATCAAAGATGCTTTATGGTTGCTGAAAAAGATAAAAGAAACTTTAAAAAAGTAACATATTGACTTTGAGCATGGCCTGTTCCCATACTTGCTGACAGTAAAGGGTAGATATTAACACTCAAAGAATAAAACAACATAGTAAGCACTGCCATAAGGATTGTATCAAGTCACAATCATGATCAAAACAGAAGATTTCCAGACTGTCAGCTGAGACTAATTATCTTAGGTCTAGTTCTTTTCTCTCAGATTGCTGTCCATTCTAATATTTCCTATCAAAGCTAAGAAGTCGTTCATCTGTTATTGGGTACCTACATAAAGGTGCTATTCTAGATGGCACTGCAGAATAAGCACTGGACTGTCAACTACAAAGTCAGTGGTTCAAACATACTAGTTGCTCCTGGAAAACCCTCTAAAGGGTCACTATGAGTCAGAACCAACTCGACAGCACTTAACAACAACAACAATTTTAGACAGAGGAGTCTTGGTGCTTCTGTAGAATAAGCATTATCCTGGTGACTTACAAAATCTGTAATTCGAACCCACCAGCCTCTCCTTAGGATAAAGATGAGGCTTTCTGTTCCCAATAACTTAGACTTGAAAACCATACACAAGGTTGCTATGAGTTAGAACCGACTCAAAGGCACTTAACCACAATATTCCAGAAGGACTATAACACAACTACTTGGCTAGTGTTTAAAGGACCTCATCAGATGGAATGCACAGGAAATAAACTGACTACATCTGAAGGAAGACATGACAGAGAGAAGCTCAATATATCAGTCAAAACAAGGCCAGGGGCAGACTGTGGAATAGAACATCAATTAGTCATATGAAAGTTCAAGCTGAAGCTGGAGACAATTAAAACAAGTTCATGAAAGTCAAAATGACTTTAAGTATATCCCACCTGAATTCAGAGACCATCTCAAAAACATTTGATGCATTAGACACTACCCACCAGAGACAGAGGAGTTGTGAGATCTCATCAAAAACATCATAAAGAAAGCAAAAGTTCCTTAAAAAAGATTTTAGAAGACCAAAGTAGATGCCAGAAGATATTCTGAAACTTGCTCTTGATATAAAGAACCTAAAGAAAATGTAAGATATAAAGAAGTAAGCAATTTGAATAGATAAATTCGAAAGGCAATTCAAGAAGACAAAGTCAAATATTATAATAAAATGTGCAAAGAATTAGCATTAGAAAATTAAAAGGGAAGAACACACTTAGCATTTCTCAAGCTGAAAGAACTGAAGGAGAAAGGTTTGGCTTGCAATATTGAAGAATTCTATGGGCAAATTATTGATACAGAAAACATAAAAAAAAAATGGAAGGAATATACAGAATCACTGTACCAAAAGTTCAAACATTTCAAGAGGTAGCATATGGTCAAGATCCAATGGTACTAAAGGAAGATGTCCAAGCTGCACTGAAAGCATTTGCAAAAAACACAGCACCAGGAATTGCTGGAATACAAATTATAACCTTTTATCAAACTAATGCAGCACTGGAGGTGTGAGAAACATGTCTATACTGACAAAGGTCCAAGTAATCCAATCTGTACTCATTTTAGTGAGAGTGAGGTTTTCTGTATTCGATTTTGCAAAATCTGGCACCCAGCCCATGCCTCATGGCCATTTGACAAAGAGTTTTATTAACCTAATTCAGAAAAAGCCCCTCCTCCATTTCTCCTTTACTGGGTACTTTGGAGTTTACAATCTTTCCCAAATGGCCTACTAGTCCCTATAAGGGTGCAGTTTCATTTAAAGTTAGTTTTACCCCCTCCCCATGAACTTCCCCTACTTCCTTGATGAGTGTATTCTTATTTTAAAGAGTCTAATAGCTCTGGTAGTCTAGTGGTTATGAATCAGGCTGTGAACCTTAAGGTCAGCAGTTCGAAACTAACAGCCGCTCCGTGGGAAAAAGATGAGGCTTTCTACTCCTGTAAAGATTTACACCCTCGGAAACCCTGTACAGGGTCGCTATGGGTCGGAACCGACTCAACAGCACTTAACAACAATAGGTCAAACTAGTCTCTTCCTCTTCTCATAGTTCCCTTTTGTCACGCCAACTTGTTATCCCCCAAGATATCCTTGATTCTGAAGAAGGATCACCCCAAACAGCTATTTCTCACAGAGGCACTCACTCATCTCTGCCAAGAAATTTGGAAGATAGCTACCTGATCAAAGGATTGGAAGAGATCCACATTTGTGCCCATTCCAAAGAGAGATGACTCAATGGAATGCAAGAGTTATTGAATAATAACATTAATATCATATACAAGTAAAATTTTGCTGAAGATAATTAAAATCCAGTTGCAATAGTACATCAACAGTAAACTTTGAAAAATTCAAGCCAGATTCAGAAGAGAACATGGAACTAGGGAATCACTGTTGATGTCAGATGGATCTTGGCTGAAAACAGAGAATACCAGAAAGATGTTTACTTGTGCTCTATTGCCTATGCAAAGGCTTTTGAAGGTGTGCATCATGACAAGCTATGAATAACACTGAGAAGAATGGGTATTCCAGAACACTTAATTGTGCTCATGAGGAACCTGTTAATGGAAGAAGAGGCAGTTGTTAGAGCAACAGGATACTAAATAGCTTAAAATCAAGAATGGGGTGCACCAAGGTTGTATCTTTTCACCAAACTTATTCAATTCTATATGCTGAGCAAATAATCCAAGAAGTTGGATTATATAAAGAACAACATGGCATCAGAATTGGAGGAAGACTCATTAATAATCTGTGATATTCATATAGTACTTTCTGGAAGTGAGAAGAACTTGACATACTGTTGAAGATCAAATAGTATAGCCTTCAGTATGGATTGCGCCTCAATATAAAGAAAACAAAAATCCTCACAACTACACAAGTGAGTAGAGAAAAGATTGAAGTTGTCAAAGAGTTCAATTTGCTTGGATCCATAATCAATGTTTATGGAAGCAGCAGTTAAGCAATCAAATGATATATTACATTTGATTACATTACATTGGCAAGTCTGCTAAAAATGACTTCAATACATTTTTATAGAGCAAAGATGTCAGTCTGAGGACTAAGGTTCACATGACCCAAGCCATAGTATTGCAAAGCCTCACATGCATGTGAAAATTGGACATGAAAAAGGAAGACTGGATCAATGCATTTGAATGGTGGTGAAGAACAATACTGAAAATACCATGGACGGCCAGAAGAACAAATAAATCTGTCTTAGAAGAAGTACAGCCACAATACTCCTTAGAACTGAGGATGGTGAGATTTCGTCTCTCACATTTTGGGCATGTTGTTAGAAGGGACTAGTCCCTGGAGAAGGCCATCATGTTTGGTAAAGTGGAGCATCAGCAAAAAAAGAGGAAGACCCTTAATGAGATGGATTGGTACAGTGACAGCAAAAATGGTCTCAAACACAGCAACAGTGAGGATATCACAGAGCTGGGCAGTGTTTCACTCTGTTGTACATAAGGGTCGCTATGAGTTGAAACCAACTCAATGGCATTTAACAACAATACAATCCAGATTCCAACATCATTCTTTAAAGAGATGGGAAAACTGATGACTAACTTTATGTGGAAAGGAAAGCAACCTCAGATAAGCAAAGCACTGCTTAAGAAGAACAAAGTTGGAGGCCTCTTACTCCCTGATACCAAAATTTACTACACAGTAACAGTGGTCAAAATAGCCTGGTACTGGTACAACAAAAGAACATAGATCAATGGCAAAATATGGAGTAAATCCATCCACATAGTCGGCTAATCTTTGGCAAAGGGCCAAAATACATTAAATGGGAAAAAGATACTCTCTTCAACAAATGGTGCTGGCAAATTGGAATTTCATTTGCAGAAGAATGAAACAAGACCAATATCTCATACCATACACAAAAACTAAATGCAAAACCTAAATCAATGAAAAAATAGGGACAATCTTAGGGGCTCTAAAACCTGGCATAAATACACTGTCAAGAATTTCTAAAAATACACAAACAGAAAACAAAATAGATGACTGGGACCGCCTACACATTAGACACTTATGTGCATCAAAAGATACCACCAAAAACAGTTCAACATTCAAAAAGTTACAGTGAGATGCTTACTGAAAAGCTGAAGCTTAAACTTTAGATTAAGCAGAGGAATGCTATCTATCCAATGGTGTTATGATCTTACATGACAATGTACGTCCCACACCTCTACCCCCTATGTTGACACTCCACAAAAACTTCGTTTTGAGGTGTTTGGGCATCCTCCCTATAGCCTTATCTTGCTCCATTGGACATTCACATGCTGGTCCCCTGAATACAGCCTTTTGAGGACAAAGATTCACCTTTGACAAAGAAGTGAAGGCAGCGACACATTCGTGGTTTGCATCACAGACTAAAGTATTTTTTAATAAGGGAATATGAAAGCTTGTTGATAAAGTGTATAGAGAAGCAAGGAGATTATGTTGAAAAATGATCTATTTGTCTTTTTAAAAAGCTGATTAAATAAATTCTACAGCCAGAGTGTGGATGAAAAAAAGATACCACCAGAAGAGTAAAAACGGAGCCTATAGATTGGGAAAAATGTCTTTGCAACGACATACCAAAGGGCTAATTTCTAACATTTCTAAAAAAGAAAACTACAACAACTCTATAAGGCCATTTATCTCATGAAGCCTTCTGTGGTCAAATGAGTGAGATTCCTTCTTCAGAACCCACTCTATGGTGGTGGTGTGCCATCTAGTTGGTTCCCTGAATAGAGTTTCCAAGGCAGTAACACTTTTCAGGAGCAGAAAGCCTCATCTCTCTCCCTCAGAGCTGCTGGTAGATTCAAACTGTCACTATCACAGATAATAAGTACCTCCCATGTCAATAACTTATTTTCAATTTGCCTGATACTTTTTTTGCATACAAATCTTTTGTTTTAAAACAGACTTAATTCTATTTGGATTCATCTTCCTATTCCTGTAAAGTTTTGTTATCAAAGCCAGTGCTCCTAAAATACGTATTTATGGTACGCGTGCACTCAGTAGGTATTTGATATGTTGAAACTTTCTAAATGATATAGCCATACTCACATTTTTTACTCTGCTTTTCCACTTCTGCTTTCAATCTCTTGTATTTGTCTGTCCTGTAGACCAGGACCCATGTTATGCCTGAAAAATTAAAAGTATTTGGGGCTGTTACAACCAACAGTTAATTCGTGGCTATGTTAGGGAAAGATGCCCTACTGGCACTGTAGGATAAGAACTGGCCTGCTAACTGCAAGACAGACAGTTTAAACCTACCAGCCGTTCCGAGGCAGAAAGCTGAGGCTATCTGTTCCAGTAGAGATATGAAACCATGGAAACCCTATATAGGGTCGCTATGAGTCGGAATCAACCTGATGGCAGTAGGTTAGAAAAGGTGGGATATCAACTTTTTGCTTTCTATTTACCCGTTAACTTTTTTTTAAGCATAAAGACAGCTGACTTTTCAACCAAAACAGCTGTAACATGATGTGAAAATGTCTACACAGACAGGGAAGTGAAACGTACCCAGACCCCCCCCCCCCAAAAAAAAAAATGAGGCAATCAATTTCACACTACCCGTCTCACTCCACCTCAGGAGTTGCCCCGAGGTTTCCAGCAGGACAGTCTAGGAGAATCTAAACAAGAAAGGATCCCGACCTTACTTTCCCGGCAACACGAGGGTCCCAAGTCTCCAGCCCACCCCTCCCACAAGATTGATCAAACGCCAGAGGAAGTAGCCGCTCTCACCCTCAGCTAGAAGAGCCGTGCACACGGAGATAAAAACGATGAGCAGTGTGTCAGCGAACATGGTGCTCATCTCGCTCCTCTAACCCTACACTCCCACCCGCCAGGGGGGAAGCGCCTAGAGGCAAGAAAAACGCAGCGAAAACAATTCTCTAGTTGCGGCGACCACCTCCAAATCACACAGTAACTCTGACAGCTTGAGCATTATACTTCCGCATCCGGGTCACAGTCCCGGAAGCGTTCGTTTGGAAGCCTGTGTGGCGGGTCTCTGTAGCGTAAGAACGGGCGCTCAAACGTGATCTCGCGAACGTTGAAATTTGAGCAACTGACCGAGAATTGGCTGCGATAGCTGCAGCAGTAATGTTGTCTTGGTAGTTGTGCTGCACCTCGCCTCCCTCTCGGCCACAATTCAAGTTATTTGCACTCATGAATTTCTATCTCATCCCCAATTTACGACCGATTTAACCTAGGTTTGCCGTGCAATAGAAAGATTGATTTTCCTAAGATTACCGAACGCCAGGCCACAGACATGGAGGTCGGCGCAAAAAATTAAATCGCTCACAAAATCAAACAGTCTTGGGCTGCTGGATTTAAAGAGCTCACGTCCTAGTTTAAGGAGAGAAATTGTAAATACCATGTGATTAGAGTTTTAATGAAGGTATGAACAGAATGCCACGGTGACAGTGCATAGGTGGAAAGAGAGTGGTCTGAAAAAGCTAACAAAAGAATTGAAGCAACAGTTGTCGACAAACCATCCAAGGAAGTTGATGGCGACGGCAAACTCTCAGAGATTTCTTTAAGTCTTTCTTTTTAAATCTCTTAAACAAAATTTACTAGCACTGTGTTTCTGACTAAGTGACCTTAAAGGACAAAACTGCCCCATGCCAAAGCTGTAAATCTTTATTTTTTCAACTCTTTATTGGGAATTGAGTGAAAGTTTACAGAGCAGATCATCCCTTTTCAGTTCAGCAAATGCACATTTGGTTTCATCTCCATGATTGCAGTCCTGTCACATAACATCACTTGTCCCACTTTCTGTGTTCCCTGATTCCATTCTTACTCCTTTTCCAGCCCTTATGAACTTTGTCCTTGAGTCAATGCTGTCCTTTAAGGTCTAAGTCTAATAGAAGACTCACATCTTCCAGGTGCAGCTGGTCTTCCAGGTTCACACTGCCTACCTTTTGGCTAGCAGCTGAGCCTTACAAGTGACCTTAAGGACCTTGTGTTGGGTTGGGTTTTTTAGCTCTGTATATTGTACGTAAGATACCTAGGATGTGTAGGATGTCCAGCCAACAAGAACATTCCAACTTCACCTCCTATCTGTCCCTTAAGATTTGTTGACACCTAGCAAAGTTCTTCCCTTAACCCTTCTCCCTAAAAAATACTGCCGCAGAGTTCATTCCTACTTCTGATGATCTTATATGCTGCAGGATAGAAATGCTCAATAGATTTATCTTGGCTGTGATCTTTGTATGGAAGTCTTTTATTACTACGAACCCTGAATGAGTTCCAACCAACAACCTTTATGAGCACCTGATTGGAAACCTCTGCCACACAGCTTCCTTGTAGAAGAGCTCATTGTTTGGTACCATCAAGTCCTCTTTCCTGGAAAACACAAAGGACAAGTGTTCCATCAGGTTTTCTTAGAAACTCTCAGGTCTTTCTCCCTGGGGGCCGGTTCCAGGGCCCCTTAGAAAAAGGTTAAGTGTTTCATTTTCATATTTATGACTTTCTAGAACTTACTCATTTTATAGTTTCATGCCCTTTAGACTGGAAAACATGGTTGTTACTTCTGCCCTGTTGAAAGTTATGGAGGGTTGTTTTGGCCCATCACATGGTCTATTCTGGAATATTCCATGTGCAATTGAGCTGTGTGGATATTCATAACAAACTGAGATTCCTCTTGTCTGCTCACATTGAGACCATTCAGGGAAATAAAATTTGGTGTGCTTAAAAACTGAATTGAAGCAATGTTTTAGATACTGGTGTTACTAAGGGGCTACGGACTACACCAGGTGGCACTGTCGGGTGGTGATGGTTATGTGCCGTGAAGTCGGTTCCGACTCATAGTGACCATGTACAGGATTTCTAAGGCTGTAAATCTTTACGGGAGCTGAAAGCCCCATCTTACTCCCGCGGAAGAGCTGGCAGTTTCGAACTGCTGACCTTGAGGTTAGCAGTCCAACTCATAACCACTATGCTACCAGAGCTCCTTACTGTCAGAGGCGTGACCCAAAATGACTGCTTATAAAATATTTGTACAGTGTTTCAGCAGAAAAAATAATTTTTTAATTGTAGTTGTAACATCAAAACCAGTTTTTATAAGCCCAGCTTGTTAAGTGCCAACCAGTCATTTCCAACTCATATGGAAATTGTATAGTGTTTCTGAGGAACAGCTGGAGGGTTTGAATAGCTGACCTTGTGGTAATCAGTCCAGTGCTTATCCTACAGTGTCACACCAGAACTTCATGTTATTCTATGTTGTTGTTAAGTGCCATCAAGTTGATTCAGACCCATATAGGGTTTCCAAGGAGCAGCTGGTGAGCTTGAACCATCAACCTTGAACCATCAACCTTGCAATTCAAATGACTTTGCAGTCTGACGCATTGGCCCACAGTGCCACATAGTGATCACTTACTTTAGTTCGGTTTTCCCTCTCTAAACAGAGTTCCAGAGCTTTTGTCCTATTTTGTTTCTCCAATGTCTTAGAGTTAGCAAACAGAGTAGATGTGGGAGCACAGTGGATGAACACGCTATGCACTGGACTGAGATCCACAAGGTCTGTGGTTCATGTCCACCAGCCACTCCAAGGAAGCAAATTTAAATTGTCAGAAACCCTGTACAAGGTCACTATGAATCAGAAACAACTCAACGGCACTTAACAACTGAGTAGATGCATAATAGAATCTTATCACAGCCCAGCTTACCTGTATCAAAATACCAATGAGGCTAAAACTCTGTGCTTCAAACATGGAATGTACGAAGTATGAATCTGGGAAATTGGAAGTTGTCAAAAATAAAATGGAACGCATGAACATTGGTATCTTAGGCATTAGTGAGCTAAAATGGACTAATATTGGCCATTTTGAATCTGACAACCACATGGTTTACTATGCCATGCCGGGAATGACAAATTGAAAAGGAATGTTGCTGCATTCATATTCAAAAAGAACATATCCAGGTCAGTCATGAAGTACAACCCTGTCTGTGATAGGATAATATCCATGCGCCTACAGGGAAGCCCAGTTAATAACACCATTATTCAAATTTATGCACCAACCATTAAAGCCAGTGAGGATGAAATAGAAGAATTCTACCAACTTCTTCAATCTGAAATTGATCAAACATGCAATCAAGATGTATT